GCTAGATTTCAGGACACAGCTGTCACAGGAGAAATGTGGACTAAGACACTATGACACACTTTATCTTCAAGGACACCACCATGTTATCAAGCAGATAAACTCCTAATTTTTGAGTATGACATGATAACAGTAAAAAATTACTTTAAATATGTTAACATATTATTAATGGAAAGGCCTTCACCATTTCTTCCTAGAGAATTAAAACATCCAAAAATAAACAGGGTCATAAGAAAAACGTAGAGGACATCTTGAAATGAAGGGGAAGGACCTCTATGTCAAATCTGATATCCTTAATCAATATGTTGACAGTATCAATAATATTTCAAAATGTTTAATCAAACACATTCATGCCAGATCTGTGCTTTCTACACAAATATGTTTGGTCCATTTAAGAAAAAGGAAAAGTAAGTTCATTTCAGTGTGAATTAGAATATGATGTGTATTTCTAAAAATAGGGAGAGAACATCAAGCAGCGTAAAGACTYTATCGAACACTCTGGAAACAAGTCATGATTTGCGATCAATACCAACTTATCATTTATTGGAGATAAAATGCATTAAAGTAGGGATTTACCAATCAGAAAACATGAAAAAAACTAAGTGATTTTCATTGTGCCTCCATTGACATTTGTATCAAACAAGACAACTACACTTTCAATCCCTTTAGTCTTGCAGATTTTATACTATAGATGACATCCAATGAAGTATGTTATTCTGTTTTATATGTAAATATTATAATTCGGAAGATATATTCTACTAATTATATATACACCTTACATATCAATATCTATATCAACAGAGTCTGAGATTTATAAAAGAAGTAAAACAAGCAAACATACAGGGTCCTAGGAGAGATAGAAGATCGTCCATAACCAGATTCAGATGACATCTCTCACAGGACTCCACAGAGAGACAGAAGAAACACACTGCACCACCCGCCTATGACAGATGTTATGGGACTGTCACCAGATCTGGGTACGGAAATGAGCCTCTCTGTGGTTCAGCTACCCTCACTTGATTTTCCCATTACATACAGCAACACAAAACTAAGAATGGTTTCAAACTTACTTATTGTAAAACCATTGAAACAGACATGTGCCGACATTCAGCCAAGYGTCCATCCCTGTGAATCAGCACAAGTGGACTGAGGATTGCATAGCCCAGGTCCACAAGTTCTACAGCACTTCCTTCTATGAAATTATTCTCTACGGAGAAAGTKACATATAAAGACATAAAACARTTTGTCCAATAGAAGAAGAGAAAGCAGAGCATCAGAAGGAGGACACTCTTYRCAGCCTTCACCTCAGGGGGGGTTCTGTGGAGGAGCTTGGAGGTCTGAAGGTGGAGCACCTGCTGGTGGTGCTTGTGGAGGAGGAMGACCATGTAGCTGCTGGTCCAGCCCATGACACCCTGGAACACAGCGTCTCGAAGRACCATGAGARCAATAAAAATCCATCCAATTGTCCAGTTTTGAGATTGAAAATAACAGAAATTATCACTTCTAGTAACTTCTGATGTGTTCATACTTCTGATGTGTTTGAT